ATAATTATGAGAAGGCTAATTCCTGGAAAGCCTGGAACATTTGCTGGTTTCTGTGTGTTCTTCAAGTATGTTGTCCATCTTACATTAATTACAGTGACCATCGCAGTTTAGGATGATGGATGCTAAAGATCTCACAGCCAAAAACGCAATTTTGATAAATTTACTTAAGACATGATGCTTGTAGAAGGCCTAGTTTACGACATTTATTAATCCATAATGCCCATGTGCAGAGGGAAGTTTATACACAAGCCTGAACAGTCCGTGTATTCAGCTTGGACAAACTGAAATTTTTCTAAAAGCCCCAGCTTTATTTTTAGTGTCCATTGATTGGGAAGAATTATCAAGACACTGAATGCACTGAGTGCTTTCCATGTCACTTCACGTCTGCCTGTCTGCCATGTCTTGACTATTCCCTACAGACTCACAAGAAGGAGGTTTGTGCAAGTTTAAAGGAAGTTGATTTTAATGGGGCTCTTCAAGTTTGGCATATTTTTCCATATCGCTGCATTTTGTGCTTTGTGAATTATTATCTGTCATTGTTTTATGTGATTTAGAATTGTTTTCAGAGGAAAAGTCAACGATATTTGACTCAGTAACAAGTAATATCCTATTTGACACACTGTTTAGTTTATGTAGCTTTGACGTTTTGAAATTAGATTCATAAAAACATGCACATTCTGGGAAACATAGGTGAGATATGCATTTTAAGTGAAGTATTTGTCATATGTCTCACTGTATTAATCTACCTTAGTGGGGGAGTGTGGTCACAGAAGAGGAACAAGTCATTTTGTTATTTGTTTGCACAAATTTGTTGAGCTCAGTCCACCGTCATGATTGCTTTTCTCAACTACACACTTAAGATAGATGTTACATCCTGATATACCCCTGGGGAAGTTTTCTAACATGGTTAGATACCTTGAATGTCAAGGTTACTAAGTATGAACTAGGCATCAAATACGTTTTTGTACATGGTAACTTGAGTTTTTATGAATTGAAACTTAGTATATACATGATCTCTAAGGTAAGGTCTCGAACGTATCAACTTTGGGTTACCTCTGTGGAAGGTCAAAGTATGAAACATGGTTTTGGTTGAATTGAATTCAAAGTAACTAACTCAACACCTATCATATGTCATGATTGTGTCAAATGTCAAGTTTGCTTTGAAGATCATTAACACATGAAATGAGTTGTAAATAATTCAAACTGGGAGGTATTATTTGTTTGGTTGGAAACTTCATAAATTCTTGCGAATACCATACCTCTGTTACGTCAATGCCTTAATCCTATATCCTCATTACTGTCAACTATACATGAGTAGTTACCTGTATTAGCACACAGCTGCCTACAACTCTTGCATGTGCAAAGGGGGAAAAACCTTATTTCTTACCTGTTTGCTAGAGGAAGCATCAACTTGATTATCAATGTTTAGAATTTGTTGAAAGTTCATGGCTGAGGTTGAAGGTTGACTCTGTTATTAAGGTAGCTGGAGGCATATGACTTTCCGTATCAAAGATGTACTGCATGGGGCATGTGTTTTCCACACCAGAAATGATGTTGCTGAACCTAAAGTGTTTTTAGCACTGTTGTTAAAGTAGATAGTGGCATCAGCCTTTCTATTTTAAAGATGTATTGCATTCGCTATGTGTTTCCCATAACATGGGGGCAGTGGGGCTGTCTAGTTGTTAAATCATTCACATGTCATGCCAAAGACCTGGGTTCCATTCCTCACGTGGGTACATTATGTGAAGCCCATGTCTGGTGTTCCCAGCTGTGATGTTGCTGGAATACGGCTTACAGTGGGGTAAATACTTACTCACTCCAAACAGGTTGGGTAGCTTCTGTTTCAGAACTTACTGCAAACACCCTTCTAGTTATCCTTGCTAAGGTACATAATAGCCAGCAGGAAAAACCTGGTGCAAGGCAATTCCATGGAGCTTGTATCATTAGGCTTAATAGTTACCTTCAGCATTTTGTAACATATGGTTATAGCATTGTCAGTTTCTGATCATGGTGACCACTACAGGCAGGACACTTCATATTTGCATGTATCTTTACAAATTTTAACTCATCTAATGTTGTTGCTTTGTCTATCAAAGATCAATGTCATCTTTGAGGTTTTTGTGAAACATGGTGTATTATTTATTGCCAGTTTTACTCGTATATTTACTTATGTTCCTTTATATTTCTGAGTCTTGGGTAATTGTTGGACTTGAGGCAGTTGTCTTGATTAAGGTCAAAGTATGAAAGTACATGATAGTACATTAAGACTACTTTTTGAGGTAATGGCGGTGGTGGGGCTGCTTCTGTTTTTGCAAGTCAATGCAAACACCACTGTTTTGTTCCTGAACTTATTTGCCTGTTTGTTGTTGTTTATTAGAACTGACTTTTTTAGGCATAAGCTGTTGAGTTTTGTTGTCTTGAGTGATATGAAAACATGGCATGTTGACTAGTCATGGCATTGGGTGTCACATTGAGTGTCACATTGAGTGTCACATTGACTGTCACATTGAGTGTCACATTGAGTGTCACATTGAGTGTCACATTGACTGTCACATTGACTGTCACATTGAGTGTCACATTGACTGTCACATTGAGTGTCACATTGACTGTCACATTGACTGTCACATTGAGTGTCACATTGACTCACATTGACTGTCACATTGACTGTCACATTGACTGTCACATTGAGTGTCACATTGACTGTCACATTGACTGTCACATTGACTGTCACATTGAGTGTCACATTGACTGTCACATTGACTGTCACATTGAGTGTCACATTGACTGTCACATTGAGTGTCACATTGACTCACATTGACTGTCACATTGACTGTCACATTGACTGTCACATTGAGTGTCACATTGACTGTCACATTGACTGTCACATTGACTGTCACATTGACTGTCACATTGAGTGTCACATTGACTGTCACATTGACTGTCACATTGACTGTCACATTGACTGTCACATTGACTGCACATATGATTGCTATGCTGCAAGGTTCATAACCTCCAGTGGCTTTGTATACATTTCAACAGTAAAGTAAATGATGGCAATACGTACTACTTAATGTATTTGCACTCCTCTCACAAGAATACACAAGATAATTGTTCCACCAATAAAACCATTTAGCCATGAAATTGCCAAGGTGGGATGAAGAGGAGCCGACCCTCGTTAGGACTTACAAGGACGTTTAGGCCAAGACGCATAATGGGTGCTAATGCATATGTTGGTGGCTCCATGTTGGCCTTAACATAGATTGTTATTGATTGCAGCTCATTACTGCTCGTCACTCTGACAAATAACAGGAATGACCCCGACTTTCCTGTCCCGTTGTCCAAATCTCCGTCAGACTCACAGTGATTAATTTGAAGTAATCTGCTATGGATGAATATGTGTTGAGCCTGGATATGGTGTTGAATAGCAGAGTACAATTTGATCAGAAAGATTTGCGTATCCCTCCTAATGGGATCTTTGTCCAAGCAATCGGATTACTCAAAGTAACTCAGAGCATGTTTCTGTCGATTGGATTCATAGCCTTCATATTTAGACTGACTGACTTGTGAAAAAAGGGATGGACTGAGTGATTGTGGTCTGTCACGTAGAGGCACCCCTGTGAACGAACACACACACACACACACACACACACACACACACACACACACACACACACACACACACACACACTGGTGCCTACTGTTCTGACACACACTGTTGCCTAATGTTCTGACACACACACTGGTGCCTACTGTTCTGACACACACTGCTGCCTACTGTTCTGACACACACACTGGTGCCTACTGTTCTGACACACACACTGCTGCCTACTGTTCTGACACACACACTGCTGCCTACTATTCTGACACACACTGCTGCCTACTGTTCTGACACACTGCTGCCTACTGTTCTGACACACTGCTGCCTACTGTTCTGACACACACTGGTGCCTACTGTTCTGAAATACACACACACACTGGTGCCTACTGTTCTGACACACACTGGTGCCTACTGTTCTGAAACACACACACACTGGTGCCTACTGTTCTGACACACACACACACACACACTGCAGCTTACTGTTCTGACACACACACACACACTGCAGCCTACTGTTCTCGTAGGTGTGCCTACAGTCTGTGGAGGCAGCCTTGTGTTTAGACAAACACTCTGCTTCCCCACTTCTCACCAATACACACAAACAATGGATAACTCACCATAGTAGTAAGCTTCTTAGCTGTGTTTTGGATAGGAACTAGATTGTGGAAGCCAACAAAGGCTTTTCAGTACAAACTTGGCTGAAATGTTCCAAACTTCACACACTTTGTAGACAAAACTTAAAAAGATATAATGCATTTAGTTCAGTTTTCAAGGATGTTAAGATATCCAGGTTGGCTTTGAACTACATGTTTCTCAATTGGTATCATTTGTATCAGTTGGTATCATTTGTATCAGTTGGTATCATTTGTTTCAGTTGGTATCATTTGTACAATTATATGTCATGATGATGCTCCTGTTCACAAAGTTTTCATAGGACTGCAGCTTCCCTAAGTCTATGTTGTGGCATGTTTAGTTACGATTTCCAGTGCTGTGAACACCTTGTGAAGCAGGACCTGAACACTGGTCAAGTACATGGATCTGCCAAAACAATAGTAGATAGAAATATTCCAACTATGTCAGAGAGAGATGTAGATAATCAGGTTAGGATGACAAACAAGCAGCCATTTACTGAGCCTGACCACCCAATTCAATTTCCTCACATCTCACAACCAGCAAACTATTCAATCCCATGTCCCCTGTTGTCTTGGTCTGTCCAGTAGTGTTTATACTAAGACAAGTTTCAGGATGGTATTATTCAACTTGCCCTAATTCATGATGTTGATTACCTAGATGCAGTGGAGTTATGTTGCTCTTACCCTTATTCAAGACCATGATGGTTGCTTCTGTAGCTAGACTGATGATGATGGCTTCTGTAGCTAAGGGGGTTGTGTTGCTGTTGCAGGATGCCTTAGAGAAGAAGGTAGAAGAGTTGACACGGCAGCTGGCTGATGAGAAACAGTCATCACGTCGTTCCGTCGCCAAACTACAGCGGGAAGTTGCCAGACTGAAGAGTGAGCGCAGCTATGCACAGGTAGGGAGAGAAACATGTAGAACTTGCACTCATTGCTGGGGAGGGAGATATGAGGTGGGATACCCACCTTGTCTCGAAGGGAGGGGGATATTCACCTGCATGTGGGACACTCACTTTGTGTAGACACCTGATATATCTGGTACACAAGGTGCCAATATGTTTCCTGTTGACATATCTGGTACACAAGGTGTCAGTATGTTTCCTGTTGACATATCTGGTACACAAGGTGTCAGTATGTTTCCTGTTGATATATCTGGTACACAAGGTGTCAGTATGTTTCCTGTTGACATATCTGGTACACAAGGTGTCAGTATGTTTCCTGTTGATATATCTGGTACACAAGGTGTCAATATGTTTCCTGTTGACATATCTGGCATACATACAAGGTGTCAGTATGTTTTCTGTTGATATATCTGGTACACAAGGTGTCAGTATGTTTCCTGTTGACATATCTGGCACACAAGGTGTCAGTATGTTTCCTGTTGATATATCTGGTACACAAGGTGTCAATATGTTTCCTGTTGACATATCTGGCATACATACAAGGTGTCAGTATGTTTTCTGTTGATATATCTGGTACACAAGGTGTCAGTATGTTCCCTGTTGACATATCTGGCACACAAGGTGTCAGTATGTTTCCTGTTGATATATCTGGTACACAAGGTGTCAGTATGTTTCCTGTTGACATATCTGGTACACAAGGTGTCAATATGTTTCCTGTTGACATATATGGTACACAAGGTGTCAGTATGTTTCCTGTTGACATATCTGGTTCACAAGGTGTTTGGTACACAAGGTGTCAGTATGTTTCCTATTGACATAAGCGGTACACAAGGTGTCAGTATGTTTCCTGTTGATATATCTGGTACACAAGGTGTCTGGTACACAAGGTGTCAATATGTTTCCTGTTGATATATCTAGTACACAAGGTGTCACTATTTTTCATGTTGACATATCTGGTTCACAAGGTGTTTGGTACACAAGGTGTCAGTATGTTTCCTGTTGACATATCTGGCATACATACAAGGTGTCAGTATTTTTCATGTTGACATATCTGGTACACAAGGTGTTTGGTACACAAGGTGTCAGTATGTTTCCTATTGACATAAGCGGTGCCCAAGGTGTCAGTATGTTTCCTGTTGATATATCTGGTTCACAAGGTGTCAGTATGTTTCCTATTGACATATCTGGTACACAAGGTGTCAGTATGATTCCTGTTGACATATCTGGTACACAAGGTGTCTGGTACACAAGGTGTCAGTATTTTTCCTATTGTAAGTGGTACACAAGGTGTCAGTATGTTTCCTGTTGATATATCTGGTTCACAAGGTGTTTCGCACTCAAGGTGTCAGTATGTTTCCTATTGTAAGCGGTACACAAGGTGTCAGTATTTTTCCTATTGTAAGTGGTACACAAGGTGTCAGTATGATTCCTGTTGACATATCTGGTACACAAGGTGTCTGGTACACAAGGTGTTAGTATGTTTCCTATTGTAAGCGGTACACAAGGTGTCAGTATTTGTCCTATTGTAAGTGGTACACAAGGTGTCAGTATGTTTCCTATTGACATATCTGGTACACAAGGTGTCAGTATTTTTCATGTTGACATTTCTGGTACACAAGGTGTCAGTATGATTCCTGTTGATATATCTGGTACACAAGGTGTCAATATGTTTCCTGTTGACATATCTGGTACACAAGGTGTCAGTATGATTCCTATTGACATAAGCGGTACACAAGGTGTCAGTATGTTTCTTATTGACATAAGCGGTACACAAGGTGTCAGTATGTTTCCTATTGTTAGTGGTACACAAGTTGTCAGTATGATTCCTGTTGACATATCTGGTTCACAAGGTGTCAGTATGTTTCCTATTGATATATCTGGTACACAAGGTGTCTGGTACACAAGTTGTCAGTATGTTTCCTGTTGATATATCTGGTTCACAAGGTGTCAGTATGTTTCCTATTGATATATCTGGTACACAAGGTGTCAGTATGTTTCCTATTGACATATCTGGCACACAAGGTATCAGTATGTTTCCTATTGATTTATCTGGCACAGAAGGTATCAGTACGTTTCCTATTGATATATCTGGTTCACAAGGTGTCAGTACGTTTCCTATTGACATATCTGGTACACAAGGTGTCAGTATGTTTCCTATTGATATATCTGGTACACAAGGTGTCTGGTACACAAGTTGTCAGTATGTTTCCTGTTGATATATCTGGTTCACAAGGTGTCAGTATGTTTCCTATTGATATATCTGGTACACAAGGTGTCAGTATGTTTCCTATTGACATATCTGGCACACAAGGTATCAGTATGTTTCCTATTGATTTATCTGGCACAGAAGGTATCAGTACGTTTCCTATTGATATATCTGGTTCACAAGGTGTCAGTACGTTTCCTATTGACATATCTGGTACACAAGGTGTCAGTATGTTCCTGTTGACATATCTGGCACACAAGGTATCAGTATGTTTCCTATTGACATATCTGGCACACAAGGTATCAGTATGTTTCCTATTGACATATCTGGTACACAAGGTGTCAATATGTTTCCTATTGACATATCTGGTACACGAGGTGTCAATATGTTTTTTATACCTAACATGGGTACAGTGTGTGAAGCCCATTTCTGGTGTCCCCTGCTGTGATATTGCTGGAATATTGCTTAAAGCTGCGTAAAACCATCACTATGTCATCACTTCAGTTTTTCATTCAAAGTGTCAGTGATGGTTGTGCTATGGCCAACCTGAATGTTACCAGATTTGATTCCTGCACATGAAATGAGCCTTAGTGGGTGTTGTAGTTGTGAGACCAGGTGAAACTATGTGCCCTGATCACCACTCTGGATGCCGTCAGTGCTGCTGATGTTGGCGTGTTTGATGTGAGTCTTGTGATTGTCTTCCGCAGCAACCTGATGTTGTGTGGAATCAGCTGCTCAGCCAGCTGTGACAGCACTTGCACCCTCCACCAGTCATCTTTTTCACTGTAATCTATTGCCAAACAGCGAGTTCCATCCCACAGATGTGACTGATCTGCTTCATTTCACTTGTAATATCTCCCAGGATCAGTCTGTCTGTAGCAGGTCCATGACAACAGTTGCCATTGAATTGTATCAGGACAGATTTACTTTAATTTTGCTTCACTGCTCAGATGGCTAGTTCTGCTTGTATGTCAGTTGATTTGTGGATGTTTCACCTTACAATGCCACATTCACCTCCATCATGACATGTATGTTCCACTGACCTATATTGTAATAAATTAATAGTATGTGTAAGCTTAACCTATACAAATAGCAATGCCTTGACATGTGTCAGTATATTGGTGAAGCAGGTTTTCTAATAACTACTTAACAAGTTTATAGATATAGTCATACATTTTATTGTTAGCTAGTTTCTTTGATTTGTAGCTGCAGCTTCTGTACAAGCTGTAGTGACTAAAACCCTGACTTTGAGGCCACTTGCTGTGACTTGTGAGGTTGTGAGTCACAGGCTGGGCTGTGACCTACACCAACTTGCAATACTAGTCAGCCACCTTCATTGTGACATTCACCAGATTCTCAGTCCTCAATTTCATCCCAGCTCGTTTCTTTGATGACCCTAATTTGACAGCCATAATCCTGACTTTCCTCCGTTATGATTGAGTTTGAGTTTGTAACCCATCACATTTTGCACACACTCACATTACTGATTTGATAATGCATCTGAGAAAGTCACAATTCCACAGAAAGTTGACCCTATAAAACATGGCAAACACTGTGATACATTCTGTGGCAGTGCATGGAGCCTCTTGAGAGAAAATGCACAGGGCTGCATGATGATGGGCACTAGATTCAGGACTGGAAGCTATGACTTACATTGATGTTGTAAACATTTCAGCTCACCTTTCATCCGTGCCAGTAAGGTATTTGGCAAACACAATATTGCAGGTGAGCTACATAACTGGCAACTGAATGTATTTTGTTTTGTGAATGGGAAATACAAAATATGTTTAATTTGAAATGAGGAAGTTTCAACTTACTGGCACCACTGGTCATGAAGGTGTAGATTAGGTCTCACTTACTAACAAGGAATGTGCCTTCATTTTGATTTCCACTGTAAACCACCTGATTGTGAAGTGCTTCCTGGAAGAAATTGATATTGCTGGAAGTGAGATGGTGCTTCATGAAAGTGTACACCACAAATGCATTTAATTTTTTTTATTAAAGTCAGCCATCAGTTACGAGCAAGAAACAAGAACGGTATGTTGATTTTAGATGGTAATTATAACGCTCACTTCACTATTGATTGAGGCAGGTTTGATGTTGATGTCTGAAAGGCTTTCACTGGGAAAACAAATGGATGTTTGCTTTTACATTGTGATAAGGCATTTGCAGCAGTTTTAGGACTAATATCTGGAGAAGATACTCAGCATGTAATGGTGGAGAACGTGCCAGGTGTATGCTTGAAATGTTCCCTGTCACTGCTGTGTGCTTCCCTAGACATGCTGCTCCACCAGAAGACATGATCACCTTGTGCATGCTGTGTCTCACATACTTAGCTGTATATAGAGAAACAACATGACGAATGCTTTTGTGTCTTTCCAGACAAATAAGGTTTAGAAATTCTGTGCCTGATATAACGTCAGGTTGGTCTTTCCTAATATCCATGTATATATGATGTATTGCTGAAGGCTGCTGTGGAGTCATCTGTATTTACAGGCTCCACACAGATTACCTACAGTAAAATTAGACTGCATGTAGAGAAACAGGAGGGTTCAGGAGATATGGATGCCTCTGTGATGTTTACATAAATGGATATGTGGCCATGTGGTTGTATCCTGCCTGCTGTCATGGCTTGACTTGTCTTCCCTCCCACCGCCACCCCACACTCCTTCCCCCACCCACCCTTCCCGCCATGGACAGTGATGATCATTTGATGGCCAGCTCCTGTAACAAGCGTCTACTGATAAAATCTTTTGTATGGAGTCTACTGATAAGGTCTTCTGAATGCAAT